AAAAGCTTTATTCACATTTCCAAACATAAAAAACATATTTATTCACAGTAACTGGGTACAAATATTTGGCCAGGTAATTAAATATGAATCGTGATTCAAACAGTATAGTGGCATCATTCAATGTAAATATAATATTCACATCAGTCAGCTGCAACATTAGGAGGTGACGATGAAACATGTCTATGAATCAGTGTGTTGATAATAATCCAGTTATTAACATTGACTTTCTTACTAATGTAAATATTAAAGGTGTAGTTACTCTGTGTTTTCACTCTGAGATCTTAATGACTTCAGGTTCAGTATAAATCTGTTAAAACGACATTATAATATTTCTATTCTATATTTTACTTAAATGATATGGATTAAAATCAACGGATTGTATAAACAAGTGATTCATTCAGACGTTTGAATGATTAATCGATTATTGGAATTATTATCGATCGCTGTGATCTGAGGTGTGTCCTCGAGCCGCCATGTTCTCCGGTGACGTCATCAAACGGGAAGTGAGCTCCTTGTTGTTGTGCTGTCTGCGGAGCGGGAAGCTCGCGATCTGAAACAACTCTTCCTCCTCTTCCTCCTCGCGGACCATGGACGGGTGAGCGCGGAGAACGTCCCGCATCTTTTTTCCCGCACGTCCCGCCTGTTTTTCTTCTTCCTCCCTCGCGTTTCCTTGGTGATCGGACCGCACCTGCGCGAGCCTCCGGCGTCAACCCTCGCGCCCGTTTGTTGTTGTTTACCTGTTTACTGCAACATTTCCCGCCACAGAACCGCCCCGGTTTCCCGTTTCCCGCGCGGTCCAGCTCCCTCGGTTCCCTTTTGTGTTTTTGTTTTGGTGTAACGAGCGAACAGTGACGGCTGAGATCCCGCGATAACTGCGTGTTCTCGTGCGGGGCAGAGTGCGGAAGCGGAGACGCGATGTTCCTGTTGCTCTGAGCTGGATCGTGAAACATCGAGTCGAATAATCGAACAATAATCGAAGATCAGAGAACAAACAGTAAAACACCGGGCGGCCATTTTAATTTTTCATTGATTCATCGTTCAGTCTGAAACTTATTTGACTTCATTGATTCAGTTTGAACGAATGAAAACAAATATTCTGTCACCAATCATATTAATGAACCGGTGTTTCCCCAGTAAAGAGAACGTTGAGTTTATGAACCGACTCGTCGATTGTGTGAGTCAATCAATTGATCAATAAAGTAATTTTCTTATTGATCAATAATAAAACAAAGAGGTGGAACAAGACAAATAGACTAAATGAGTTAATGACACATTCATTTCTAGTTTATGACTTGATTAATTTAAAGTGAACATCATTTCTGCAGGAGGCGTGAACCTCGTCTCTCAGCCGCTCTGCGAACATGAGCACTGTCAACCTGTCCGCAGGTGAGACCTCTCTCTCTCTCTGTCAGTGTCAAGCTTGCTCTACCTGAATCCCTACTGAAGGTTGAATGACTCTATTGACCTGTTTGTGCTCGTCACAGTGGATGGCTCTGATAGGCCGTGTGTTTCTGAGCGAGCCCAGTCTGTCCCGTCTCGGGTCCTTCACCTGCGCCATCTTCCTGTTGATGTCTCTGAACAGGAAGTGCTCGCTCTGGCGCTTCCCTTTGGCAGAGTTAGTAAACTAATCACACTGAGAACAAAGAACCAGGTGAGTGACGACACGCTGATGGTGTTTTACAGCGTGTTACCAGCGGGGGGGGGTTAAAGTACATACTGATAAAAGCTGTCGTTGAATAAATCGAGGTCAGACGATGGGACGTAAATTAACCTGCACTTTAATTCATCACTTTTGTCTTCGTTTAAATGTCACGATCAACATCTTGTTTCCAGGCATTTTTAGAGATGGCCTCAGAGGAAGCTGCTGTTACCATGGTGAACTACTACACCTCAGCCACACCCACAGTCAGGAACCAGCCAATCTTCATTCAGTACTCCAACCACCGCGAGCTCAAGACCGACAATCTGACCAATCAGGTGAGGGGCAGTGGCTTCAGCCACACCCACCTTAACACAACACTCATTATTTTTAAAATACCTTAATGAAGAGTCGATGTTGTTGACAAATAATGATTCAAAAACAACAAACAAACAAGGCAACATGTTTTATTATTATTTATAAATCAAACAACGGGTTTCCATGGTGACGTGTTTGTTTCTAATATGTGTTTTGTTTACAGTTGTAGCTGAATAATTGTGTTTGTTGACAGAGAGCTCAGGCAGCGCTGCAGGCCATCAATGCAGCAGCAGTGCATTCTGGGAACATGGCAACAGGAGGGGAGGGTCGGGGCTTAGTCCCGGGTCAGAGTCCCGTCCTGAGGATCATCGTAGAGAATTTATTTTACCCGGTGACGCTGGAGGTTCTGCAGCAGGTTGTTTATTTCTGTTTCTCACACTGTGCCATGTTTGTCTGTGTTGTTGATATTTGTGTTTACATTTTTGTGTGTTTGTGTTTTTAGATCTTCAGTAAGTTTGGTTCTGTGTTGAAAATCATCACGTTCACCAGAAACAATCAGTTTCAGGCTCTGCTGCAGTTTAGTGATGCTGTGCACGCTCAGCACGCCAAGGCTGTGAGTCACACACACACACACACACACACACACACACACACACATATATAAATACTACACTGAAATGTTTTCCCACCATATATCAATAACGACTGATGGAAGAAGACGACTGATAAATTCCACCAATCAGAGTCCGTGTTTGGAGCTCTGGTTCAGTCAGATGGCCGCTCTCTGTCTTTCAGTCTCTGGACGGTCAGAACATCTATAACAGCTGCTGCACACTCAGGATCGACTTTTCCAAACTGAGCGCGCTCAACGTCAAATACAACAACGACAAGAGCCGAGACTTCACCAGAGCCGACCTTCCGACCGGCGAGCTGGAGCCCGCCGCTGCATTTGGTGAGGGGAGCTAAATTTGCTAATGCTAACTAAATTAAAATACTCGGAAGGTTTTAACTTTGAACAAGGTCTCAGTATTAACACTGTGTGTGTGTGTGTTTTGCAGGTGTAGCTCTCCCTCCATACGGAGCAGCTGCTTTCCCGCCTACCTTCCACCAGCACCCAGGTGAGAGACTGTTGTAATGTCTGTACATGTATGATGAGATCAGCGTGGATCTAAAACTACATGAGCGTTTGTTCCTGGGCGGGTCTTAATGTATTGTGCTGAAATACTATGTTAAATAAAGTTTTTCTGATGTCTTCAGGTTTGTCGATGTCGGCCATCCCTGGCTCGTTGGTGTCTCCGCCTCGTGTTACATTGCAGGTAGCGCCTCCTGCTGTCCACTCGGTGCTGCTGGTGTCTAACCTGAACCCAGAGGTCAGAGGTCACATTGTCTCTCAACAGTTGACCAATCAGAGCGCTTCACTCACAGCTAACTTTACTGACACTGTTTGTCTCTGCAGAGCGTTTCTCCGCACTGCCTGTTCATCCTGTTTGGTGAGAAACTGATTTTAAAGTTACTTCAACATCTGGATTTAGTGACTTGAAAATAAAATGTTCATGTATGACGTCATCCCGATATGAAGTCAGCTGTGGTGTGTTTTCAGGTGTTTATGGGGACGTTCAGAGAGTGAAGATCCTCTTTAATAAGAAGGAAAATGCTCTGGTTCAGATGAGCGATGGAACTCAGGCTCAACTGGGTCTGAAACATATTTTCATTCATTTCAAAAGTTTATCGTTTAGTTTCAGGAAAACATTTTTAGTGTTTAGAAAATAAATAATATTTAGTCTCTTTTGTCTAACAGCAATGAGTCACCTTAACGGCCAGCGTCTCCATGGTAATGTCATTCGGGTGACGTTGTCCAAACACCCAGTGGTGCAGCTGCCTCGCGGGGGGGCGGGGCAGGAAGAGCAGACGTTGACTCAGGACTTCTCAGGCTCCGCCCTCCACCGCTTCAAAAAACCTGGATCCAAAAATTTTAACAACATTTTCCCTCCGTCAGCGACGCTGCACCTCTCCAACATCCCGTAAGATCCGCTCACATGTTCTATGACACGTGTGTCAATGTTCTGTAACGGCTGACATTTTAAATGAGTTGGGTGTAAAAATCTGAATCAAGGACCAGAACAATCTGTTTTGTAATAATTAGAATATCCCCCCTGTCCTTAGTCTCTTTGTCTTTTTTCTATCTTTGTGTCTTTGTCTTTGTCTCCCAGCTCGTCGGTCAGTGAAGACGCGTTGAAGGATTTATTTTCCTCCGGTGGATTCACCGTCAAAGCCTTCAAGTTTTTCCAGTTAGTATTAACAATAACCAGTTACAGACAAAGTAACCCGTAGGTTGTTCATCAAGAGAATTGCTGAATCGTTCAAGTCAAATTTTCAGTAGAAATATGAAACGCTTTAAGATGAGTGTATGTGATGATGTCACTTCCTCTGATGTCACAGGAAAGACCGGAAGATGGCTCTTATGCAGCTGGCGTCGGTGGAGGAGGCCATCGAGGCTCTGATCACTCTGCATGACCACCAGCTGGACCACAACCAGCACCTCCGGGTCTCCTTCTCCAAGTCCACCATCTGACCTTTGACCCCTGGGCCCTGACAGATACATGTGAAGTGGCCCCTGGTCTGTCGGCGGTGTTCACCTTCAGGTGTAGTCAGCTCATAGCCTGTTAGCCTCCCATTTAGCTATCACAGCTTTTAGCTTGTTAGCTTTGATTGTAACTTTCACAATGAAAGTAGAGGCAGAAGAACCGTAGTTCTTCTCCTGCGCTCCACGTCATGTATCAGAAAGTCGACTGAGTCTGAGTCGTGTTAATTAAGAAGTTTGTTGAATCTTTGACGGGGTGTAAATCACCAGCACCGACCTCAAACGTAAAAATTATAAAAAATATATGGGATATTTTTATCAGGTAAATTACAGTTTAATATTTCTTACAAATCTTTCCGCCCATCTGCAGCTACTAGCATAAATGTCAAGTCACGTGGAGGCTAGAGGTCAAGGCTAACATGCTAATATTTAACATTGCAGCTAATGGTCTGATAGCATGTTAGCATCAGTGCTGAAGTCATGATGCCCTTTGTGATGTCACATCCTCTCTGGACGAACCCGTCATCTGACCTTTGGCTTTTGGAGCTGACTACCGAATCAGACTGTAAAGAATTCTGATTGGCCTGTGGGGACCAATGGTTGAACCCCGACACACAAACCATCTGTGCCGACACATGATGTCACAACAATGGGTCGTTTCCATGGTTACAGTGGTTACAGAGCACATTCCTGAACAAACTGTGTAGCAATGCATAGTGGGTTGTGGAGTCCACCAAGGAGCTGTTGTGAGTTAAACTTTTTGTTGATGAACGTGATGTAGAAAAGAAATCAGGAAACATTTTTTAAAGTTAAAAAGAAAAATTTCAAAGTAAAAGCCCAAAGTAATGGAGGGATTTTAATGTTCCATTATTTTGTAGTTAATTTATATTTGAATGACTCGGCATGATCAATAATTATTTTAAACCTGTCGCAACTGAACTTATTTATTTAGTTTAGTTTTTATTTTTCCTCCTGTCTTCATTTTACTGTGAACATTTGAAATCGTAAACAGTTTCAGAACAGTGACGTGTCTGTTTGGTTACCATGACGATGATTATTATTTTATTGTATTAGTTTAGGTTGCTGCGATCTCTGCGATCTTTCTTCTGTGCCTTAATTTTTCTCAATTACTTTTTTTTTTTTACATTGTGTTCCTTTTTTTTTTCGTAGAAAATATTTTCATGTAGTTAAAATATTTTTAGTTTTATCGGTGTTTTTATTTTGGGGGTTTGTTTCAATTTTGAATGTGTTTGTACTGAAATAGTTGATGACTCTATGCCCCGCCCATCTGTCGCACCTGTGTTTCTGTGTGTGTGTGTGTGTGTGTGTGTGTGTGTGTGTGTCAGTCTGACCCCTGATTGGTTAATCCTCAAATGTCACACCCTCTTTTTTTTCAATATAAATATATTTGATTTAAATTTCGATTTTTTAAGAATCATGTTATCGCATCGGTTCACAAAGAAAACGTTTTCTTCAAACAGGAAACAAGCCAGATAAAACAGGAAGCTGCCAATTTCCAGTTTGCCTTCTGACCTCTGACCTTCCCTTTGATTGGTTAAAAGTCATCGAAGTCTTTGTTTTCATATCAGTGTTTCACACGTAACAAAAAAGCTCAAAAGTCAATTCAATTCTTTTGTTTCATATTTAAGTTTAATTTGGTTAAAGAAATGGTAAAAAAGGTTTCATGTTTTGTTAAAAAATTTGTAAAAGTTTTGTAACATTTAAAAATGACAGTCTCGAACCAGGTGGGGGGCGGGGTCAAACCAAGCCAAAGTTTGTGTGCCTTTTAATTGGACCAACACGTTTTCTTATTATGACATCACTTCCTGTTTAAATGGCGTTCCAATGTTTTTAGTTACTACTCTTTACTTTATTTTGAACATATTTTGCATTTGTTGTCACGTTACAAGGAACAAAACTTAATTCACATGATGATTTTTTTGAAGTATGTTCATAACTGTGACATCATTGCCTCTTTGATGTTTCATTTGATTAAACACTAATGTCAATGTCCCGCCCACCCATGCATCAGTCAGTCCAAACCAAAGGAAGCAGTTTAAACACGTTACATGTTACAACACGTTTCGTGACACATGGAACAAACTGGTCACATGGAGGAGCTCCTGTTACATGTAGTTTGTATGTTACTCTATTACTCACTTAAATACTTGTAACTATGTAGATACATGTGAACATTAAATACTCTAACATTACAGTTACTTTTTAAACACATATTTGTCCCACGTCTGTTTGTTACACATGTGTACTTGTATGTAATTTAAACCTTGATACATTAGACATGAATACTTGTGTTTGATTTACTTCATCAATTTTACACTACCCTCTAGTTAGATTACAAACACGTTACTTTTGTTATAATACTGACAAGAACAAGAGGAACATGTATGTTTATGTTGCACATGTTTACTGCATGTTACATGCTTGCAACACGTTACATGAGAAGCAGGTACCGTCACTTGTAACATGAAAACATAAAAAACCCTTTCAGAATAAGATTGTTTGGTTTCTGTTATTTTCAACTTTAGGCTTGTCCATGATTTTACTTTGAAAGTCACATTTGTTTCTGCTTTCTTTACAAACTTTTATACTGAATGTATCTTTTGTTTTCTAATGCTGATGAATGTAAAGTACTTGTGGTGCATTGTGGGAGGAGGTGCGATTATTATACGAAATATTTTTTAATATTGAA